CAAAGCCAGAGGTCGGTAATTTTTGCTGCAAAGAATCACAAAAGCTTCTGGGTTGTGCACAAGGAGGAACACACATGTCAATGCAATTCAGCAACATAAAATAAAGAAATACAAATAAAACAAATCAACAAGAATCGGCAAAGCATCTCCGATTAGATTTTATTCACTACTACAATCTAATCAGAGATGCTTTGCTGATTCTAGTCCAATGACCAGCTCCAGCAGGGTTGGAAGGGAGTATGTGTACATGTGTGTGCATGGCTGTCAAAACTCCAAAAACAGGTCAAATAGTTCTGGGGAGGCCAGTCATAAATTAGAACACTTGCTAAGCAACTGGCCATTAAGTGAGGACCACTTGTATTTGGTTTGCCAGTCACCAAACCACACTCACCCAGTCACATGACCAGCAAGCCACACCACCCGTCACGTGACCAGCAAACCATGCCCACCCAGTCATGTGACCAGCAAGCCACACCCACCCAATCACGTGACCAGCAAACCACACCCTCAAATTAGGCCATGTCCACAGAAATTTGAATCCTGCCCCTGGGCGGGGGGCATTGAGGATGAGTTTGTAGCAACAAGGGGGCAGTGGACTGAAAAAGTTTGGGAACCACTGATTTAGACTTAATAAAATCAGTAGGAGCATACAGTACCTACCCAGAAATAGTATAGAAAACCTCTCAGAGTAGCTGGTGTTATCGCTGAGTTATACTAATTTAGATATTCACATTTAAGTTATAATTAATATAAGTTATGTAAACTTTAGTGTAAGTTATACTAATTTAGATTTCAAATTTGAATATCATGGCACATTAAGCATGCAGATGCTAATCTTGTATTCCTGTTAATACTGGCTTCATCTGCGAGTCCACCATGATGATAAGAGATATGAATGTGAAGAATGTGGAAAAACATTTATTCGCCATGATCACCTTACAAAGCACAAAAAGATACATTCAGGTAAGGAGTGGCATTGACATTACCTTTCTCAATCAAAGAATCCAGGAACATAGCATTCATTTATATTTTACAAAATAATGGACTGCTGAAAGAAAGGATATCTGTTTTCACCATGACTGGTTAGAGATGAAGATGTATGCCAACATATGTGGCCAGACTGTTATTTGCAGAACAGATATTCCATGAATGGAAAGGCACTGGGGTATACCAAAATGCAACAGTTTTCTCATGGAGGAACTGCACATTTTAAAGTTATTTTTTCAGGTCACAAAAGGTAGATCAGTGGTGGAACCAAGACACAGTAATCTCAATTCCATCCCTCCCCTCCCAGACCTTCAGAATAATAAATTTAATTTTAAAAGACATGTTAAGCCCATCATCAGTTTATTTATTAATATATTATTTGACAAATCCTATTTTTTGTCCCTACTCCCAGTCTTGGTGACACATATATTATAACATACTGATGAGCCATGGATATTGATCCCTAATTTATTTATTTTAATTATATCCTGCCTTTATTTTATATGCTCAAAGTGACCTATATAATATTCCCTCCTCTTGCTTTTTCCACAATAACCCTGTAGGTGGGTTAGACAGAGAGAGAGTGACTGGCCCAAAATCAGAAATAGTTAGATGCCTCTGGCATTATTTTTAATGCTTCCTGGAAATTTTATTAAATTAACTCGGAATATATTATTGCTTCATCTTAGGAGAGAAAGCCCATCAGTGTGAGGAATGTGGAAAATGCTTTGGCCGAAGAGATCACCTCACTGTTCATTATAAAAGTGTTCATCTAGGAGAAAAAGTGTGGCAAAAGTAAGTCTAATTTAATATTGAAATATATTCAATATTGATATAATGTTGAAACATATTCAACATTTGAGGATATGTTAGATTGATTTGTATACACCAAATAAAACCATGGTCAGGTTCTGGTTAAATCAGAGTTTAATTGAACTAAAAATAGTCTTATATGAACACATTCTTTTTACCCCTTGAGTACTAATGCCAGAATATAGTGTATTAAGGTATGATAAGATACAATGTTCAATTATTATAAAAAGTATGAAAATATAGTTTAGATATCACATATAAAGCAAAATATACCTACAGGTGGGGCATTTCAAGTCAGGGAAAACATCATTGGAGAAAAGGTTTCAATAATACATGACATCTGTTTCTTGATATCCAAAACAGTGAGAAGCAAACATAGAAGATACTAATTATGGATCTAAATGCCTTATCTAATTTGATATTCTATGGGGGGGGCGTTATCCTAAATAGGTGTGTATCAGACAATTGAAAGGGGACATGAACTTAAAAACAACAAGGCCAAGGAAAATAAGATATAGAAAATATGGTTCAATATTTAATTAATAATAACACATTCTTCTCCAACTGTTCTGATATGTAGCCTTCGAGTCATGAAGTCCCCAAAAGAGCATAGAATAGCTGGATTTTGCAATAATCCTTTACACTTGCACTGGAGAATATGAATGTTGACATTACAACCCTATATATGACTAACAGAATAGCAGAATTGGAAGTGACCTTGGAGGTCTTCTAGCCCACCCCCTGCTCAAGCAGGAAACCCTATATCATTTCAGAAAAATGCAAAATGCAAAACATAACAAAGTGGTGTACTCCTAGCCAGTTTTATATACAGTACATAGAATCACAGCATCATTAAGGGTCTTTTTCTTTAAAATGTCCCATTTACAAGAGATAGAACCAGTGAAAGCTAGTAAATGTTTTAAGGACCAGCTTTGCCAACTCCATTGCTGCCACCATGCTGCTAGCCATTGAAATCTGGTACATGTGGCTCAGCTCTGCCTTCAAATTGACTCACAAATTTGCCCCAAAATTTAACAATTGGCTATTGTGATTCCAGCCTCATCACTGGATAGAACTGTGTTTCTTGATGGATTACACATTTGTTTGCATTAACATTTCTTGTGAAGGTATTGGAATTGTCCACCAGCAAACAATTAAATGCACATATATTCTACAGAAACAATTTAAAAACAGGGAAAAAATTAGAATAAGCCTGTAATAGTAATTTAGTTTATGTAAGCCTGAACACATTCTTTGGTAAACAGTTTATTTTCTAATATATTCTACTTACTTGCTTTTCTTTCAAGGTACAAAGCAACATTTCATCCATGTGAAGTCTGCAAGAAAGTTTTTAAGGGGAAATCAAGTTTAGAAATGCATTTTAGGACACATTCAGGTAAACAATCAGAGTAGCCTAAAAACTCAGTTGGGATCTCTTCCATTTTTAAAACTTGCTTGCAGCAGAAGATAATGCTTGCATTTCTTTGTTTTTCAGTTTCCTCTATTTTGGGTAGTAAAAATAATTAACCCAGTACATTTTGAGCATTGTTCTTAATTCTCACAGTTTAGTGATTTGCTAAAGAATCTATTGGATTCTTAATCTATCCCAATTCCCTTCCATGCTTTATGCTATATTCCATGTTGTTGGACTCTCCAAGGTCCCCCAGTTAACTAAATATTTGCCCAATCCAATACTTTCTTTAATAATGTTATCAAAATGTTTTAAAATAGTTCTTTTAGCCAACCTTTCTGCAAGTTGAGGAGTGCCTGATACTGTTCAGCATGGATTTCTACCCCTTCTGTCATCATTAAAACAAAAAGCAATTTTGACTTCCCATTCTTAACCCTAATGCAAGACACAAAACAGTCAAACAGTTTCCAAAACACTAACAAAACTAATGAACTGTGATTATTGATGTGTGAATTTTAAAGAATTATTTTTGATTTGATGAACTTTTGAGGGAAAAAAATCCTCTTGAAGCAAAACTACAAAATTAAGACTTCACTTACCACCCATCCTCGCCTCCTCATGCCCTACAGTGTTTTCTGTTAATCTAAGTTACTCAGCACATTTTTGAACCAAGGCTGGCAATCCACGTGAATCAGCTCTTCTGAATGTATTGCAAAGTATCAATTAATGGTGTTGCATATCAGCTTTGCATATCCTTATGCTTTGTTCTAACCTGAAACAAAGTTTGGTGTAAATGGAAGGTTTTCTGTATTCTTAAAGTTAATTATGTATTTTTTTAATGAATGATAGTAAACATTAACATGACTTTTGTGGGGTTTTTCCTCAGGTGTGTGTCAAATGTTCTGTATTCTATAGAAATTACTTAAAAACAATGTTTTGTTATATAACAAAGATTAAACAGATAGGATACGAAAGATAGCATATTTATTTTATTAATATTGGCTTTTTAATGCAGGTGAAAAACCGTACAAATGCCAAATTTGTAACCAGTCCTTCAGGATTAAGAAGACATTAACTAAACACATGGTTATTCATTCAGATGCTCGCCCTTTCAACTGTAAATACTGCAATTCAACATTTAAACGAAAGGATAAATTAAAATACCATACTGATCACGTACATGGAGGGAAGTCTACAGAAGAACTGCAAAACTCATTGTCAGAGGAAAAAATTGTGACATTACCAGCTCAGTACCCATCAGATGACAAGGCTTTTCAAGGTGATTCTAAACCATTTGTGAATCAGAACACAACTTACCAAGTGGATACCAAGGCAATGCTACAGAATGTACCATCAGACACACGTGTGCCAGTGACACTGATATCTGTTCGAATGCGTGAAACTCAGTCTGATCTTGTACAACAACAGCCTCCTGTTATATCTTCATCTCACTCAATTCTTCCTCCACAACCTCCTCCAACGGATTATCAGCAAGCAACAGAGCTTGAATTTCTTGAAAAATATACTCTTACTCCACAACCAGCAAATATAGTTCATCCAGTTAAACCTGAACAAATATTGGATTCTAGAGAACAAACTTCTCTTGGAATGTTACTTGGTATTGATTCAGCTCATTCTGTACAGAACATTTCAAATAATGAACATTAATGATCATGTCTATGAAATGTGATATTTCATTAGTCTTGAGCTGTTAGCCATTTTGAAGTCTAACAGTATTATATAAGCTGTTGTCTGCTTCATTAAATGAATGGGGTATTATGTTGAAATAGGTGTGTGTATATGTGGAGAGAGAGAGGAAGGGAGGTGAAATGAAATGTAGAGAAATAGAGATTGTGACAAGTGTCTTGTCAAGGATCCAGCATTCTTCTGTATGATAGAAGACAAAAAATTCTAGATACATGAAAGTAATTATACAAACTGTATTTAGTTAACCAATTTAGTTTTCAAAATCATTTAAATGAATTAAGTTCATTTATTGTTTAATCACTAAATGGAGACCCAAGTTCCATTATTATACACTTAAGAGAGCCACCTTTTTATTTAGATTTGGTCAAAAATGTGAGAGGGGGGAGAAGTTGCTTTTAATGAACAGTAGAAAAGTGCTGTGGTTACCTGAGATCAAAAACACTTATTCTAAATTATTTTAAAGACATGCACAGTTGTTGTAAAGAAAACTATAATTTCTTTAATGACTTTCTGACTGCAGTATTTGTTATTCTGCATATGTGTAATGTACAGAAAGTCCAAGAGAGAGTGTTAATATTCCATTCATTGCATGAAGAATGCTACAGTGCAAAAATTTATAACATAGTTGGCCTTTATGGTGTCTGTTTGTTTCAACAAACTAAAACAAGTGTTCTACTGAAAAAAACTTTTAACAATTGTAAAGTTAATGTATCTATATTTTCTTTTACTTCAGTTATTTTAAAGCTGTTGAGCATGAAAAATTATTGTTGCCATTTTAATGCAGTGGTTTAGCTTTCAAAATCATGTATTTTTCTTTTAAAATGTAATTTTTTAAAAAACAGATTCTCGAAGAGTAAAAAATATTGATTTAATCAATTATGGATTTGAAGTCCCCTTCCTATGTTTTCACGGTGCACATATCTCATTTTGTATGTTATAAAAAGCTTTACAGTTAAAACAAAATATGTCTTTCTTTTTATTGTCTCACTTTTAAAACCATTTCTATTTCAATATCGGGTAAAATAAATCAAGGTAGCAATACTGCTTCATAGACAATGTCTTTAGTATCAGAAGGAGTCATTACTATTAGAAATCTAAAATACATCCAGGAATCAACCATGTAAACCTAGCTTTTGTTTGTGGCTTCCTTAATCTTGCTTTTTTATGGAGAGGTTTTGGGGAAAATAATAATTTAAATATAATTTGTTGTAAATAAAAACCTGCACAAATGAAGTCTTGTGGAACTGAACTACTAATTTGCTTTTATTATAAAAAGGGAAAGGAACTTTGTTGAGCATGAGGAAAAAAATCCATGTAATTAAAAACTAAACAAAATAATACTGGTTAGTGCTTAAATCAGCTCTACACAGATTAAGAGTCTTTTACTTATTGCAACCTAATACTATCTGCATACAAGGATTTAATTTGAAGATTATTTCCAAACTCTTAAAATTATAATATGCAAGACATACTTTAAATATAATAAACATTCTAACTTTGGTAATAGTTCTTAGAAACTTAATAACATGCACTGCATATGTTTTTATTATATCACTAATTTAAGAATCTAAATGTAGATATATTTTTTTACACAGATTAAATAGCTAATCATGAAAGTTTACCTTTTAAACTATAGTAGCAAGGTCTATTGCATTAAGTAATGACCAGAGCCATACAGGCAAAGATCTTTCTTTTCACCTAAAGTCAAAACTCATACTTTTACTGCTACCAAGAACACCCAAAGGCAGGATAGAATTTTATTCCAGTAGAATTTTGGTTGTTGTCCCAAAGCAAATCACACAATTTTCAGTGTTGCAATATATTTTATGATATCAATTTTTTTCACCATAGGGAATGTTGATTTTTAATGTTTTATGTAGGCAGGACTTCAGAGGTGGTATTCAGCAGGTTCTGACCAGTTCTAGAGAACTGGTAACAGAAATTGTGAGTAGTTTGGAAAACCGACAAATATCACCTCTGACTGGCCCTGCCCCCATTTATTTTCTGCCTCCTGAGTCCCAGTTGATTGGCTGGGCCTTTTGTTCCCTTGCACAAGAGAACGGAGCTGGAAAGCAGGTTAGTGGAGTGGGGAGGGAATAGGGATTATGCAGTAACCTTCCCCCAGGAGTGGGGAGGGAGTAGAGATTTTATTTTATTTATTTATTTATTTATTTGATTTGCCAATTGTTACAAGATAATAAGTATAAGCGTATACATAGTTGTGAATACATGAAATGGGTACATATAAGAAAAATAAAAGAATAAGAGAAACAATAGGACAGGGACGGTAGGCACGTTGGTGCGCTTATGCACGCCCCCTACAGACCTCTTAGGAAGGGGGTGAGGTCAGTAGTAGACAGTCTAAGGTTAAAGTTTTTGGGGTTTGGGGAAGAGACTACAGAGTCGGGTAGAGTATTCCAGACGTTGACCACTCTGTTGCTGAAGTCGTATTTCCTGCAATCAAGTTTGGTGCGGTTTACTTTGAGTTTGTATCTATTGTGTGCTCTTGTGTTGTTATGGTTGAAGCTGAAGTATTCATTAACAGGTAGGACATTGCAATGTATGATTTTATATACCATGCTTAAGTCAGACCGAAGACGGCGTAATTCAAGGTTTTCTAGTTCTAGAAAGGATACTTTTACAGTATCCTTCCCCCTGGAGTGGGGTGGGAATGGAGATTTTACAGTATCCTTCCCCTGCCACGCTCACCAAGCCATGCCCACAGAACCGGTGGTAAAAAAAATTGAATCTCACCACTGCAGGACTTCCTCTTAGAGGCTAAAAAATAAGAGTGAAAGAAGTTTCATGTCATCTGGGTGTGATGTAGTTCTTTTGGAGTTTTGGAAGAACCGTAGATGAAGGCCAAGTGGTTTTAGGAGAGGTTCAGTTTGTGACAATAATAGCAATACTACTTAGACTTATATACCGCTTCACAGTGCTTCACAGCTCTCTCTAAGCAGTTTACAGAGTCAACATATTGCCCCCAACAATCTAGGTCCTCATTTCACCAACCTCAACAAAGTCAAGAGGGAAGCCAGGGTCAAGAGGGACAAAATTCATTTAACAAATGTCTCAATAGAAATTTTGGACTCAATTCTGGTCATAAATCGAAGATTACCTGTTGCAAGTCACGGGTACCGAGGAGTTAACTGAAGTTTTCCTCCCCCTCCTGCCAGCTCTGAAGTAGGCAAGGTCAAGAAACAGGCATGATATGGATTCCAGAACTGTTGTAGTAGAGTGCAATAATAGAATTTTGAAAGCCTGTCCAACTTTCTGCATGCTCCATTTTATAATAAATCAACTTGGAATTATTCTGAACGTGTGTGCTTCTTGATTGTGACAAGAAAAAGTCTTGATCTGACCGTTTATTTTCTTTTCATTCAATTATTTGAGTAAATAGGTCAAGATATGATGACTTATGGCCATGGCCTTCTTTCAGGACATCAGAATATCCTGTTTGCATTCAGCCTCAGCTATTCCACAGCCAACAGCAATGTAACCAGCCAGCTGTTAGTTAACTTCCAAACATAACTTGAACCTGCAAAAGAAGTTAATGTATTTTGTAGGTGTGTTTCTGATATTAATACAAATATCAGAGCATCCTTTGTAAGCCATACTATTACTGCAAACTCTGCTGTATGTTCCTACAATCCCATTGAAAATGCAAATTTTAAGATACTTGGAACTTTAGAAGCCATCATTATGAGGTGCATTATGTTATCATTAAGGTGGTTTTTAAAATGTTAACAATTCTGCCAACTAATTGCTAATATATACTGTAAACAGAACTGTATGAAATAGATTATGCGCCCACTAGGAGGTGCAATTTATCAGTTTATTGCAATATGCTCCACTATTGCTATATTCCTAAATCACAGAAAACTAAAATCAGTAGTCATGATGGAAACAACCACAATGGGGAGTTATTGTCTTATTTTTGGTTCAGTTGTGATGGGTAATTTGTTAATATTGTACACATTTTAAGATGTACTTTAAACTATCCTGAATTTTGGAGGCAACATACAAATATATGTACAAATATATAAACAAATATGACAAGTTTACAGAAAGAAAGTAAGTAAGAATTGAAACTTTTTGTACAGCTCCAGTTTAACTCACTCATCACAATAATGAGAAATTATGTATCTGCAAGTGTGTTTAAATACATATCCACATAGATTATATATATAACAGAAATCTGGAGTCTTAATTCCATCACCAGAATGAATTTTTCTGGGTAACCTCAAGTAACATACTTGGGCAGGGCTCATTCTTTCTTAAAAAATATGATTATCATAATACAAAATGAAAATGAAAATAAAGATAGTAGAGAAATAGGAAAAGAAAAAAGAGCAAGGAGAAGTGAAGGGTAAGATAGGAAAGGGGGAAAAGTATTGACTTCCAGGTTTTGTTAGTGTAGCAAAATACAAAATAGAATTGCAGACTTTTTTAAATTTACCAATTTAGCAAGCACTAGCCATTTCTATAACAGCAAACTAATCAGCAAAACCCAAAGTCAAGATTTCATTTTTTTTCTTTCTCAAGCACAAAGTTCAAAAGCAGTTTCCAGGTATAAAAAACCTGGATGTATATTTTTCTAATTAAAAATATCAGTTTTGCCATTTCTGCTAGCCCCATCACTTCTTCCATTCTATTATTTTATTGTGGGAACTGACATAGGGTGACATTCACTCTTAACATAGGTTATGGTTATACAATGCACAGAACTGGCCAGGTTTCTACAATATATGAAACCATAAGCCATGATTTATAGTGCCCAATGGCTGGTCTACACAACAGTAAGTGAAAATCACGGATACTATGCTATGACTTAGCCCCATGTGTCAGGTCTATGCTTTAGTCTCACTTGAATGATTGAAAAATAGGAACATCAATTTAATTACAAATACTTCTATACCAATGACAAAAAGCTCTCACACAAAATTTATAATCTTACAGCCCAGTCTAGAAAAGTTTCAATAATTTGTTATGTTTGACCCTATTTTTAAATGTATTTTCCCTCTAAGAACATGGCCTGCTAAAAGGGCAAAAATACTATGAAATTGTTCAGTTTTTCCCAGAAACATCTATATCCTCCCACTTATTATGAACTGTTTGGCATTTACTGAGCCACTGTATTATAGTAATTAAATATTAGATTTCTTTAACAACCAACCAATTGTAAAACCAATATATACAGCTAAAATAAATCAAATGTAAAACCATGCATATTTAAAGGGATGTCCTATGATACTATGTAATATGCATCCATCCTTAAAAGGTTCAGACATTGAGCAGATGTCAGGCACAAGCAACTAGAAACACTTGTGGATAGACCCAAGTAGATATTTTATTGTGCATCACCTATATTACAAGAATCTCACCAGACTGTCTTGCCTCCTCTTCCTCTTTAGCCAGTGGTTCCACCGTATCAAAAGACCGCTGTCCTCATTCTAAACACAGAAGGACTTTCCATATCTCAAAAGGAACTATCTCTCTGTATGATCCAGAAGAGTTGGGAAGAGATCTATCTCTATCTTGGAAAAAGATAAGAGATTTCATTGGGTGGGTGGGTGGGGCTTTAGGTAGTATAAGAGGTCTCTGGGGACTAGAAGGAAAAACTTGGATGTCTTCATGAAGTACAATAATTTGGGTTTCCACCTCTTTGTCTTAAAATTGGGTTAGGATATTTATTTCACTTTATATTCAGTTAATTCAAATGTATGCCAGGCTAAGTAAATGTGCTTTATAAAGTACCAATTAAGCATTAAAATAATGTATATTGGAACAAATTTTAAAAATTGCACCACTGGCTTTCCCAGAGCTATTTTTTAAATTGAACCAAGATGAGCTAGGCTTCTTGAGAACCAGATAAAGAGAAGAAGGTGGTGGACCTCTGCTCCCCACTTCTATCTGTGTGTGTTGTAAATATGAAACAAAACTACTGAGAGGTATATAC